GACAAGCAAGGAAAGAGAGGTGAAAGGGGCGTGAGTGCCGGTCGGGGCAGAGGTACTGAGCTGAGTCCGAGGACAGGCAGCTGAGCCAGAGAGGCTTCCGCTGACATCGCCCCATTTCCCATGCCCAGCAGGGCCTGGTGTTTGCCTCTTTGAAACTGCTCCTTTTAGGTTCCTGGGCTTGCGGTAGTTTCCCAGAAATGCTAGGTAAATATCCTGTTGTTTGCTGACTAACCAGCCCCATAGCTCAGACAAGGGCCCTCATACAAATTGTGCCCCAAGCCTGGCTCTTTCTTAATAGATGCCTGGCTCCCGTAGGCAGCACCCCACACCCTCTACAAGGTCACATCAAGACTCTGAACTCTACCACGTGGAGTGGTTTTGGTGTGCACCATGTGGCTCATAGCTCTTCATCTTTTTTTTTTTTTTTTTTTTTTTTTTGACAGGCAGAGTGGACAGTGAGAGAGAGAGAGACAGAGAGAAAGGTCTTCCTTTTCCGTTGGTTCACCCCCCCAATGACCGCTGCGGCTGGCGCACCGCGCTGATCTGAAGCCAGGAGCCAGGTGCCTCTCCTGGTCTCCCATGCAGGTGCAGGGCCCAAGGGCCACTGCACTCCTGGGCCACAGCAGAGAGCTGGCCTGGAAGAGGAGCAACCAGGACAGAATCTGGCACCCCGACCGGGACTAGAACCCGGTGTGCCGGAGCCGCAGGCAGAGGATTAGCCTAGTGAGCCGCGGCACCGGCCAGCTCTTCATCTTTAGAGGCAGTCTGCTTCTCTCCAATGTATTTGGTACATTTCTCCCCAGAAAGATAGTCAGGCATAGGCTGTTGTCGTGTCCAGTGTGATAAGGAGTGAGAAGTGACCTTGGCTGATGTTAACCCCAATCATGGGCAAGCTGCAGGTGCTGGGACCTGTATATGACCTTACTTGATGATTTTTTTTCTTAAGTTGTGTGTTGTTTTATAGTTTTAGTCTGTCCTTGTTACCAAAAGCTCCATCTGGATCCTCGCCGCCAAATCAAAATAATGAGGAAAGGCCGAGGGTAAAAGAAAGAGAAGTTTAATCTGTCCACAGACGGGGACACAGAGCATGGGGACCGTGCTTTCTTTCATGGCCCGCCCTGCAACCCCACTCCCCCTTATCATTGGGGATCAGGGATGTGTTCTGGAAAAGGCTGTTGTCTGTCGGGCTCATTGCAGGTTTGCGACTCCACCTGAAGCGCCTGTGTCCCAGGTGGTCCGCCCACCCCTCCGAGTTCACAAGTAAACTCCCTTGCTCCTCTGTAGTAAGAAGTCCTCTGGCTTCCACATCCACCTAGTTCAAGGAGACTCCAGCTGGGTGACCTAGAATTAGGTGTTGCCACCGCTCTGGATTTCAAAGATGCACCATGCTAGGCTTGGTGCTAAGAATCCACAAGGCTAAGAATCCACAGCTGTGGACTATGAATCTAGAATTTCATAATTTATTTATTCTGTGTAAGGAATGTTGTCACCAACATAGTGGCCGATGTCTAGCTTTCACTTGGCCTGGGTTTCGCGTTTGTTTTTCAGAGCTCTCCGTCTCAGCTCGGGACTGTCCTTTCTGGGTTGGCTGAGGTGGAGGCTGGTAGGAGAGGGATTCCCACCTCTCTGAGCTGCAGGGGTAGGGCAGCGCCCAGAACAATGCCCAATCCTAGGCGCCGGCACTCGGCCCCCACCACCCCGCAGGCTTCTACTTTGGCTAACTGAGGGGAACAGGAAAACCAGAGTCCTTTGCAGTCCTTCCACCCAGCTTCCTGTCCTCCTGGCCTGCCTTTGGGGTGCAGGAGCAGGTGGGCCTGGTGGAATGGGCAGCAGGGGCAGGAGGATTAAGCACAAGGCAGGGAGCCAGAGAAGGGGACAGGGGAAATCCCCTAGGGAGCCCTGCAGCCTTCCCGGAGGTGAGGAAGGAACAGAGGCGGGAAGTGGGAGTGTGGGTGAGGGTACGGCAAGGGTGGGGTGACCGGTGCATTGTGGGGTTGGAGCTGGGCTTCCGGCCATTGACCCTCTGTGACAAGGGACCTCCAGCCTGGCGCCCCATGGGCTGTCTGGGGGGCCCCTCCCCACTGTGTTCCTGTGGTCTGAGTCAGACTCCCAGGAAAACCCGGAGGGCAGGAATTGGGAGGTGGGGAACATGAGCCTGCACAGGCTCTTCCCAGGAGGACCCTCTGAGGCCAGGAAAAGGGCCAGGACCTTCCAACCACACCATGCCTTGCTGCAGAACAGGGCCCTGGACTCTGGGCACCTGCCCTCCCAGCCATGGCTGCAGTTCCTCCCAGAATTATACAGTCCTCTCCCAGCCAGATTGCTGGTGAAACTCAGGGCTGAGAGGATAGGCCCTCCTCAGGCCACCTCCTGGGAGCAGCCTGGACCTCTCCAGCCCCACAGCACGTGGCTGAAGCTGCCAAACCCGATTTTCCAGTGGCTGCCCTGGGCTGGCTGGAGCCGGAAGCTCTCCTCCAGGTCTGGACCCCTCAGGCCACAGTCCTCCTCCCCCTCACCTTCTGGCCTGGCCAGCCCCTCCCCACACCTGTGCCAGCCTCCCAGTGCACCATGGGACAGCTGTCACATACCCCACTGTGAGACTCCCCAGGCGCTGGGAGTGTGGTCCAGCACCTCCTCTCCCTGGCCCCCATATTCTCACCTGTGCCTGGGGAACGGGGGCCTGTCTCTTAGGGATGAACTACGAAGAGGTCCCAAGGAAAGAGGCCTGTGCATAGCTGAGGGCTTGCAGAGCAGCTGTGGCACTGCTCTGTGGAATCCTGGAGGTGTGGTTGCTGGGAGCAGGCTGCAAAGGAAGGGGCGTGCTCCCTCTGGCTTCCTCAGGTTAGCCCACCCCTGGGAGACAGGAGGGCAGCGGCAAACAGAGAACAGCATCCCCTGACACGTGCCCCTGTCAGCAGGGTCCAAGCTCTTGCCACAGTCCCATCAGGTGCCTGTATGATGTCTCCCTCAGAGCTCTAACTCCCAGAACATGACGTCCTCACCGCACGGAGTAGGCGCTGGTGCCGATCAAGAAGCAGAGGCAGGGGTACCCAGGGGCCCGAGACCAGCCAGGTTGGCCCACCTCACCCTGGCCTGTGCCCTAGGCCAACTCACAGGCTCAAGCCTCCTGGCCTGGGAGCCTGCTGTCCTCAGCCTCCAGGGAACTCTGCTGAGGTGGGAGGGAGGCAGCGGTGCCCAGTCATCCAGAGGGCCTCCTAAATTGAGGAGGTAGGTGCCCTCTGGCTGCTGCTGCCTCTGGGAGCCTGGTGCAGGAGAACTGGGAACCTGGGAGGGGAGGGGCAGTGGAGGAGCCATCATTGCAGATGGATCTAAAAATAGCCACAAGCGATGATGTCATCGGGTTCCCACAGCCTAGCACCCCCACACACACAGACACGCACAGTCACATGCAGAGACACAAGCATGGTTGTGCATGCATGCACACCCACATACACTCACTCACACTCACACTCACATAGGGGCGGGAGGCTTCTGGGTCCCAGGGCTGCAGGCCAGGGAAGTCTGGTGAGTGTGTCTCATGTGTGTGTCTCTGTGTGAGCCTGGGTTTGAGTGAGCATCTGTGTCTGTGTGCTTGTGTCTGGGAGCAGGCATGTTTCTGTGTGTGCATGTCCATTTGCAGGCATGTGCATGTGTCATTACATGCGTCATGTGGAGAAGTCTAAGTACGTTCATGTCGATGCATATCTCTGTGCATAGCCCTGTCTTTGCATGCGTGTTTGTTGCAGTGTGTGTCTGAAGCCACTTATATTTGCATGTCTGCATTCATTTGTGGACTTGTCTGTGTCTTTATACGTCTGTGCTCCCTTGTGGGCCTTGGGCACTGGCCCAGCCACTTTCTAGCTCGGACTCGTGTTCACCAATCCCTGGCACTGTCCCCGCTGCCTTGTCAGAGACCTCTGGCCCTCCCTCTGCTCAGGACCCCAGTCTCTGGCAAGCCTGGGAGTGGAAGGACATAGAAACATTTCCTTCCCCTCACAGGCAGCACAGGGCTTGTAGCCAGGCTTCCTGAACCCCAAGGGGCCAGGCTACCAAAGGTCTCAGGTTCACTCCCACGCCCAGCCCTCAGAAAAGGTAGTCCTGGAACTGGAGCCAGATTTGGGGACACTGGGACACACACTAACCCATGCATAAAACAACACGTTAGAGACAGAGACCCTCACAAAGGTCCCAGCCACTAAGACCCAAGCCCGTGGAGACACACCTGACAGTAACCCGGTTATATCTGGTGACACATGGACACACATTCAGAAATCCAAATGGAAAATCCCCAGGCTGGAGAGCTTAGCACCCTCCCCCATTCTGGGCTCAAACTCAGTCTTGCCCCACCCCCAAGTGCCCCAGCTCAGCTGCCAGTCCTGGAAAACACTGACCTCAGAGACTGGCTGGGGGCTGAAGGTGATATGCCCTCCTTCTGCTGCTCGCCCCCACTGCCCTGCAGCCCGCACCCATCCCCCTCCTGACCTTCATTCTTCCCATCAGAGCCGCTGCCTTCCCTGGCACACCCACACCCTCACACACACTCCTCGACACGGCAGCCAGCCACGGAGGTCCACTCGATCACAAAGGCACACTTGGTTACGTGTCTGCACATACCCCCCCCCCCCGTTCCCCTGTGCGTGCACACACACACCCCGCGACGGCTCCGCCAACACACTGAGCATTGCAGGCACACAGAGCCACAGTAACTTCCCTCTCCACACCCACCGGCTTTCATCCCGTTCCTCTCTGCACTGTGCCTCCCTGTGTCTTCCAAGATGTCTACAGAAACCCTGCCTCCCTCTGCAGGTGGCAGCTAAAGCAGGGAGGCCCCTGCCTCAGGGGGGAGATCAAGAGCTGAGGCCAAAGACGGGTGTGTGTGTTATTGACCTCGCCCCGTCCTTGTGCCCTGTGTGATCCCTGTGTGTCCCTGTGTGTTCCTGGAGCTTGGCCCTGCCCTCCCACCCTGAGCAGCAGGCAGCAAACAGCTCGGGAGGGAGAAGGGCAGTTTGAGCGGAACGATTGTTATTTGTTGTCTACCACCCACAGCTCCTTGAAGACCTATGTCCAGAACGAGCCCAGCTTCTGGGTTAGCTTCCGGGCATTTCTAGAGGATCAGAAAGCCCCCCGGTTGACAGAAGTATCTGAGAACTGCGGAGAGGAAGGAGAAGGCAGGTGTGAGGCAGGCCACCATCCCTTGGATTCCCCAGCCTGCAGAGCTGGGCTCTCGGCTGGCAGCGCCCTGCCCCCCACCCCCACCCCAGGCTCTCCGCGTTTGAAGGCACCTGCTTTCAAGACCCCACCCTGCATTTGGGTGCCTGATGGGACCAGGTGAAGAAAAACTTCTATGGCCCTATTTTTCCACACCCCCACCCCCACCCCGCTGGCTCACAGGTCCCTCCACCCCCTGCTCTGGCTAACCTTGAGGTGGGAAGATCCACACACTGGTGGTGGCAGTGTGAGTGGCACTGATATCTGTGGTCATGGTGGTAAGATTGGTGGCAGCTGGGCCTTGAAATTTCTGCCGGTACCTTCTACGGCTACACTTGAACATCCTGGGAAACCGGGGCCGGGGCCAGCCCATACCTGGCCTGCGATAAGGAAAACTCAAGCCCCGGGGCCTAGGGGCACGGACAAGCTGAGAGGGCCCCATGGGTACAGGGAGCTTCTGGGATGGGCCTGAGAGGGGCTGCTGCCCTGGGCAACCAAGGCCTCTATGACATAGGGAGTCTAACACAAGGGGGCGCTCTTTGTGACAGGTCCTGACCTCCTCCCCACAGTTCAGCCCAACAGCCAGATAGGATCATCTAGGGGAAAGAAACTCTTAGCTGGGGGAAATTGACCCCTCACTTTCTCAGTTGCCCGAAGAAGCGATGGGAATGATGTTTACAGAGTGTTTCCTTTGTGCTGGACACTTGAGCACTTTACGATCCTTATCATGTTCAATCTCACAACAACCCTACCCAGGAAATCCCACAGTATCTCTCATTATATACTACAGATCCTTCTAGAAGGCCACCACCGAATGAAAGAACACGGAGCCACAGCTCCTAGGCAAAAATTGTGGCCAGGTTCCTGTGACCCTTTGGTCACCACTTTCTGTTAACTAATCGATACACACCCTGGTTTTATGTGTGGCTGCATCATATTGTTGAGTCATCAACACTGAACGCGTCACCAACAGCACTAGCATGTCCCAAAATAAAGTTCATGTGACACGTGTATTTCCCGTGCTGGGCACATCACAGCCTCGTGGCACTTACAGACACCAGTTGGCAAGTCAGCGCTAAAATAGGGGCCATTTTGGGTGGCAAAATCACCAGCAAAGACCACCCAAAACATGGGAGAATGTGGCACTTCACAGTCTGCCAAAAGACCAATTGTTTATTCTATGAAAGCTCAAACAAGAAGGCAGGGAGTACTCTTGTCCAACAGATCTCAGCTGGAACCGGGTGTGTAGGACAACTCGAATTTTTCTCCCCTCTGTCTGTTGATGATTAACTTAAAAATACCATCAAGATGGATTTGGAGGGGGTCAGCACTGTGGCTCACTTGGTTAATCCTCCTCCTGCGGCGCTGGCATCCCATATAGGCGCCGGGTTCTAGTCCCGGTTGCTCCTCTTCCAGTCCAGCTCTCTACTGTGGCCCAAGAGGGCAGTGGAGGATGGCCCAAGTGCTTGGGCCCTGCACCCGCATGGGAGACCGGGAGGAGGAAGCACCTGGCTCCTGGCTTCAGATCGGCTCAGCGCCAGCTGTAGTGGCCATTTGGGGAGTGAACCAACGGAAGGAAGACCTTTCTCTCTGTCTCTCTCACTGTCTATAACTCTACCTGTCAAATAAAAAAAAGAGATGGATTTGGAGATTACAAATACTTTATAATAAGTAGGTGAATGTAAATATGGAACCCACGAAAAACTGTACACAGGAACTGAAGCTTGGTGAGACAGAGTCAGACAATCAATCAGAGGCAGGCAGAGGTTCAAATCCATGATGACCAAGAACCAAAGCCTAGATGGCATCCCATCCCATCATTTAACTCAGAATTTTGCACTCATTCATTCATTCATTCATTCAGGAAATGTGCATTAACAATTCCACATATGCTGGGCACCAGGGACATAGTTGACTGTGACTTGGTCCCAATTCTTCTTGAAATGAAAAGAAAAACCATGTGGACCGTCCCAACAGACAGGGACATAAGAGGTGCCAATCCTGGCTTTATCTCCTTTCTTGTAGGAACCAAGAGAGTTAGTGGCTCTGCCTAGCATTGCACAGAGCTGTGGGATTTTGAACTTGCTACCTCACATCTACACCTCAGTCCCCTCTCTCTTCCCACTTACACCCCCTCCAGCCCTCTTCCCAGTCCCAGTAATCTGTCTGGTCCTGCAGCAGCCTGCTAGGAGACCCTCGGGCCCACAGCACCTCAACATGCACACTTTAGCTCCACTCTCGCCATCCTGATCTTAGAAAGAATATGACCTCGCACCCATCAACCTTTAGCCACTATACCTATAAACCTGCCTCCTGCTGCCCCTGCCCCTCCTCTTCCTCAAACCCCAGACCAACGCCTCCAATCTGTTCCTTACGGGAGCCAGCCCCACCCGGTCTTTAGTCTCGTTCCGTCAGCATGAACAGTCTGCTTAGTGGTTGAGACTTACACTCTGGTGCCAATCCTGGCTCTGCCACTTAAAAGCTGTGTGATCATAGTGAGTCCTTAACCTTTCTGTGCCTCCAGCTCACCATATATGAAATGGGATAAAAATAGTCAAGATTATTGTGAAGGGGGGAGATACATGTAAAACAACATGATCTGAATTATCATTGCAGTCTAATATTCTTAGCCCTTTCCTGTCTCTTCTGCTGCCTTCTCCCACCATAAACACAAAACAAATTTTTAAAAAATCACCTCTTGGGGCCAGTGTTGTGGCATAGCAGGTAAAGCTATGCCAGGTGCTTCCTTCTCCTGGTCTCCCATGCGGGTGCAGGGTCCAAGCACCTGGGCCATTCTCCACTGCCCTCCTGGGTCACAGCAGAGAGCTGGACTGGAAGAGGAGCAACCGGGACTAGAACCGGCCAGTTCAAATCCTGGCTGCTCCACTTCCAGACCAGTTCCCTGCTAACGCACCTGGGAAAAGCAGCAGAGGATGGCCCCTGCCACACACGGGAGACCTGGGATGAAGCTCCCAGCTCCTGGCTTCTGCCTGGCCCAGCCCTGGTGGTTGCAGCCACTTGGGGAGTACATCAACAGATGGAAGAAAACCCCCTTTGTAACTCTGACTTTCAAATAAATACATCAGAAAAAAAAGAAAGAGAAGAGAAAATAAAAAAAGAAAAGAAAGGAAAACCCAACTGGACAAATGTCTTGAATGTAGACACTTGTTCTCCAGAAAATACCCCATAACTGCCCTGTTAACAAGAACAACAACAAAAATCCACTTCTCCCATCTCCTCACCTCTGGCTGTGGTGCTTTCCTCCCTGACCTCTGGCTGTGCTCATCCCCAGACTCGCCAGAGCAGAGGGAATAACTCATTTTCAACCTCCATAACTATTCTGTTTTACAGACCAGGAAACGGGCCCTGCAGGGGGCCACACAGCTCATAAGGACAGACCCAGGATTCAGCCCCTTGGCTTGAGTGACTTGAAAGCCAGCACTTTCCCAGCACCTGTTTGCATCAACAGCGGTGGAGTGGACTCTGGGACAGACAGTGTCAGGGAGGGCGGGCTTCAGAACCCGGAGGTGACCCCTCTGTGCGACCATGGTGCCACCTGGTGGCAGGAAGCAAAGGGGGCGTACACAGTGCTCAGAGAAGACTGCAAGAGGGGATGGGAAAGGAGGGAGCGAGAGGAGAAAAGATAGAGGAAGAAAATGATGGAGAGTTTAAGGGTTTGTGGAAAGAAGAGGACTAGAATGTCTGCCACTCAGAGAAGACAGCAGAAGCTGTCAGAACTCGGTCATTTCCTTGAAAGCGCGCGCATCTGTGTGTGCGCACAGGCGCACACATGTGAATTTAAGAGCACTAGTAGGTGTTCATGTGTGCACCTGTGCGTGTACTGTGGGAACATATTGGGCCTCCTGGAACAGCCGTGGCACCGCGCCAGACGCGCGTGTCCGGGCAGATGTGGAGGAGGAGGCCGGTGTACACCTCGGGGGAGCACACGGAAGTCCTGGGGACACTTGTCCCATCCCCGGGCTTCCTCCCAAGATCAAGAGGGGCGTTGCCCGCGGGAGGCGTTGCCCAGTGTGGCCTGAGGCTGTTGTGGCTGTGGGGCTCGATCTCCAGGCAGCAGGGGGCAGCAGGGGCAAGAGGCTGACCCGCCATGGGTGGGGCCGGCGGGCGGGCAGGAGGCGGCCTTTAAAGCGCCTGCCCCGTCGGCAGGTGAGCAGTGGTGTGTGAGAGCCAGCCGGGCCCTCTGCCTGCCACTCGGTGGCAGCCCCTGGAGCTAGCTGTCCCGGCCCTCCTGGAGCCTCAGCAGATCCCTCTCTCAGAACTCACCGCCAAGAGCCCAGAACAGGTGATGGCATAGGATAGAGAAAGTCCTCTAAAGCAATACCCACCTGGAAGCAGGTTTGGGGAGCGGGAAGGGCCAGGGGCAGGGTCCTGGAAGAGTCTGGGGTTGCTTTGGGGGAGGAGCCCAGGCTACTCAAGTGCCAGAGGAGGGCAAGGAACGGCCTGCAGAGTGAGTCGGGCTTCGGGTGCCAGTGGTGGAACCTGGGGTTCTGGGGGTCTCAGGGTGTCAGGTAACAGGAGAGGACTTGGTCAGAATAGAGCAGCAGGAGTGTCACCATGGGAACTGGGGAAAGTCCTGGGTCCAGATGCAGAGTCCAGCAGAACCGATGAGATGCGGGTCCAGGACGCTGGAGTCGGGCATGTCAGCGTCCAGAAGCCGGGGCCAGCGCAGGGGCCCGGGCGAGGCCCTGCCTCACACGCGTCTGCCTCACAGGAGCCACCATGAAGTGCTTCAGCTTCATTAAGACCATCATGATCATCTTCAACTTGCTCATCTTTGTAAGTATGAAGGAGCCGCTCGCACTCCGAGCAGAGCCCGGGAAGGGAGGGGACCCCACACTGTCCTGCAAGCTTCTCCTTAAGAATGGGGTGCAGCGCCGTCACCCCATCCCCCCCCAGTGCTGATTCCTAGTCCCAGCAGCAGCCAGGTGCCACTCAAGGCCGGGAGTGTGAAGAAGCTGGCGGAGAAGCTCCAGGTGCCCCCTTCCTTCCAGGAAGCTTCAGCCCAAGCCTAGGGTCAGCTAGCAAGGGTGAGGCTCCCTTCTCACAAGTACTGGCGGCCCAGAGAGGGGCAGGGCTTGCCTAAGTTCACCGAGTGCATTCTGCGTATGATGGGCAGCTGACAGGAGAGAAGGCCCAGGTCTCATCAGAGCCAGGGATCTGTGTCAAGTGGCATTTATTCGTTCAACAAACCTTCCTGGACCAACTCTATGGCAGGGTGCTAGGTAGGCAGATAAGCAAGCCCATTCTCTACCCTCAAGGACCTCAGCTCACTACTCCCATAAGTCAGCCGGGCAATCCCAAGGCCGTGTGTCTAGATCTAGCTCAGGGGCAAGGGTAGCCCATAGGAGAGACTTGAAGCCATCTGCTTGGAGATTATTTCCTGGAGGAAATAGCTGAGGCTGGGAATTTGCACTGGGTGGGGGAGTTGTAAAATATGCAAAAAGGCCCAGAGGTAATGAAACCTG